TAATAATAATAATAATAATAATAATAATAGCCTTTGACTGGTATTATTTAACAGATAAAAGTTTTAACCAAAAACCTAAGTATCTGTTAAATATTAAGGTAGTACAGTATATATGCTGTTCCTAAAGGTTTTTTTTGGGGGGGGGTAACTCTGATGGCATGATTTTTGAGATCTGCACAGCCCTGATGACTATGGGGACGTCATCATCCTCGTCATTCATTTTCCATGGACTTAAAGCCGTTCACGTTTGGCTGCCCCCTCCCCTCTCCCCCCCCCTCAAGGGTATGAGTCTTCTAAGATGATTCTTCCTGGTTTTGAATTGGGCTAAGATCTCTAACCCGAATCACAGAGAAGAGCGAAGAAGGGAATCGGTTCCGCACGAACTCGGATCGCGTGGCGTTTGAAACCCCGCTCCGCTCCCCCCCCCCGTGCNCCGAACGAACTCGGATCGCGTGGCGTTTTAAACCCCGCTCCGCTTCCCTCCCCCCGTGCAACCCCTTTAATTTTAAGCATTTTTTTTCATAGCTCCTACTGTGATTAGAGCGACTTTCCTTTCACCCAAATACAAATCTACACGGGCGAAAAATCGACTCGCAAGACCCGGGCAGAGCAGACCCGTGCAATCAAGGGGAAGTGCTAGGGCTCGGATCGCGTGGCGTTTTAAACCCCGCTCCGCTTCCCTCCCCCCGTGCAACCCCTTTAATTTTAAGCATTTTTTTTCATAGCTCCTACTGTGATTAGAGCGACTTTCCTTTCACCCAAATACAAATCTACACGGGCGAAAAATCGACTCGCAAGACCCGGGCAGAGCAGACCCGTGCAATCAAGGGGAAGTGCTAGGGCCCCCCAGGGTGGTGCAGAGGACAGAACGGCTGACGATGAGTGGGGAGATCTGCGTTCGAATCCCGACCCCTCTCTGTCATGCAACCTCACTGGGAGAGGGGTGGCACGGGGCAACGCAACTCTTCAAACGTATGACTTACCTTGAACAATTCTTTTCGGGTTTCTGTAGGTCGGATGCAACTTGAGGGCACATCACAGGTGCAACAGTGTTGATTTCGCAGGTTGAATTCAATAGGCTTCTCCGAGGGCTGCAGAGCCAGAGTTTAGGGGTTCGATTCCCCCACTGCGCCTCCTGCAAGTAGAGGCCAGCCTGTGTAGCCTTGGGCAAGCTGTACAGTCCCAGAGCGCCCCCAGAGGAAGGGGAGAGTATAGCACTTCGAAGTATTCTCTACCTTAAAAACCCTGGGAAGGGCCGCCATAAATCGGAATGAATTTAACGGCCTGAAATTATTTAGTCCCCATCGGCCAAGCCCCGATAGCCACACCAGGTAGCGGATTCTGGGCCTTGTAGTCGAAAAGCAGCCGTTTTCGAAATCCCACCAGAACTGCCGAGAAAGGGACGCGTATTCCGTTATCAGCGGGACTCGCGAAGTCGCTGGGAATAGGGTAATAAACGGGACCCGTCGCTCTTCTTCCTCCAGAAGGATGTTCCCATCCGTCAGAGTGAAAGTGAAAGGCTTGGATCCCTTGAGACAATATTACATCGCCATAGACGTCATACCCGTCGACTCGAAAAGATACAGGTACAACCGGTTCTGATCTGCTTGCACGTGTGAATCGCTCCTGGGTTAAAAGGAGCTGGTTTTTGGGGGGAAGCGGGAGGGGCATAGGATTTTGGAGTTCCCAGACAAAGACAGACGTCCTGAAAGAGAATTGATTATCTTTATTCTTTAAATAAGGACAATTATCTTTAAATAATTCCTTAAATTATTTTTAAAATAAGAACCATTGACTTTATCCTGGTCATAAGAACCAGTCCTTTGAGTCAGGCAGGTAAACACACCTTTCATGGCTGAGTTTACACCCGATCTTAGCCTGATTTTATTCCCCTTTTCTCAGAAAGCAACGTGGACAGCCTCCCAAAACATAACTCCTTCCAGGTGAGCAGATAAAGTGGAACCGAGGAAATTATTCTTTTCAGCTCCCCCTCCACGCACTGGTTTTAAATTTTTTTAAAGAATCTCTACGGGTTTGGTTTGGTTTTGGCGTGGAATAATCCGAGCGATATTTCCTGCGCCGATTCCAATCGGATTTAAAGCGGATTAAAAGACCAACCCACCCACCCCCTTCGAAGTCTCCCGGAAAGAGGTTTAGGATCGGGGCCCTTGGAAAGTTGGGATCGATCCGGATTCTAAACGCCTTTGATTGAAGCAAAAAGCTGGGGATCCGGGATCCTTTGGGAACCATAATCATGGAAAGGGTTCACAGGTCTCAGGAAACTTGGCAACGAAAACTGGAAATTTTTTTAATCTGTTTTTTTCCCCTCCTTCAGCAATAAATATGTCTGAAGAGGCGCCCGCTGGCCCTAAAAAAGGCATGCTGCTTTTCCCTCCTGTCTCCGCCACCCCCCACGAGCCCGATCCACGCAAAATGTGGAGCATTTTAAAGCCCCATAGATTGCAACGGGGACACGCGCCGGTTGACTTCTCCGGTCGAAATCAACGGCGTTGGAGCGGTCCTTTTTAATTTGAGGCGGGAGGTCTGAGCAGGAAGCAGCCAAAATAAAATAAAATAAAGTAACTAAACGTAACATAAAGATAAAGTATAGTAAAGTACAGTAACGTAAAGATAAGTAAAATTAAAAGTTCTTTTTACCCAATAACTTTATACAAGTCTGCTCCATTGAATTGAAGGGGATTGGCTTCCACGATCTTAGAATGGTAATAACTTATGCTTAAGGCTCTAGTCCAGTTTAAGAGGAGGCGCCTCACTGCGGAAGTTTGAGATCAGGGGACCCTCTGCTTGGACCAGAAGGTGCCCCAGTATTTCAGACTGAGACCATAGTTATAGGGGAAAATAAAGAATATTTTTCCGATGAAGGAAACATACCCAAGACCATTTACCTACACCTGAGTCTGGCTACTTGACACGCGTGTCAAGTTTCGGGAAGCGAGGTCAGCACAGGGCACTATAAATAAACCCTCTTTTCTGGGAGGAAGCAGAGACTGGAGTTGGAGGGGAAGACCTCGAGGTGTTTTATGTGTCTTCTAAGGAGCTAGCTGGATAGCTCAGTGGTTTAGGTATGCTGAGCCAGAAGCTGGGAGTTCAATTCTCCACTTGTGCCTCATACTAGTAGAACCAGCCTGGGTGGCCTTGGGGAAGCTGCACAGTCCCAAGGTTGCCCCTAGAGGTAGGGAAGGGTAAAACACTTCTCAGTATTCTCTACCTGGAAAACTCTGAAAAGGGGGCAACAATAAGTTATAATAGATTTGATAACTCAATAAATTGGGCATCTGACTACGGAGCCAGAGGCTGGGGGTTAGGTTCCCCATTGTGGCCCCTCAGGAGAAGAGCCAACCTGTGTAGCCTTGGACAACCTATCAAAGACTAACACATTCTGATCCTTGATAAATAGGATGTCGAGCAGTAATACCAATAATATCATAATAAGTATGCTTCTGCTGTTTTCATGTGTGTGTGGTTTTTTTTGATATTGCATAAAGGAGAATCAAAGATGCGAGAATTGGACCTCTTGAGTCATTTCTCCTAATTGTGAGTTAAGAGAATGTCACAGATGTTTCTCCTTACTCCTGAGCATATAGTCTCTAAAACTGGACCCATCATTTTTTTTCACCCATGGCAGATAATCCCACAAATGTCTCTCCCTGCAAGTAAAAAACCACACAGCCCTGAACACAATGGAGACCAAATATTGGCCTCCCTCCGCCCCATGTCTGAAAATGCTCTGATGATTTAGCTCAGCCTAGAGAGAAGAGAGTAGCAGAGAAGAAAGAACCACAGCTAAAATCGTGGTGGCCACAACAATTACAGCTGGCCATATGATAATAAATGTTTATTTTGAGAGTACTGTATGTCCAAGTCTCTCCAACTTTATTCATTTTATGATTCTCTTTTCTTTGTTCATGGAGTAGAAAAACAAGGGAATACACAGGATTCTCATCTTGTTGACCCGTGATTCTGATTCCAGTACGAAGTGCAGGGATATAATTACGCTGGAAAACCATTCCATGTTGTTAAATGCCTTTTCAAAACCCATCAATTTATGTTGCTTTGCAGTCTCCGGAGGAATTTAATAAGCTTTCTTTCACTGTGAGGAGAGAAGATTTTTGCCCTCCAATGACTCAGAGTAAATTTAGCTGTGACAATTCGGTGCCCTGTTATAATCTGCAGGGAATCATTGCTTAGAGAAAGAAGAGTAATTCAATTGTAGAGCTGCATCAAAATTCAACACAGCGTTTGAAAGATGATCTAACTGAGTTGATGCCAAAACCCAAGGTCAGCTGAAAGTTTAAGAGCTTGAGCAAAGTGGCTCGTGTTCCTCTCTCAGGGAATACTGATGGACCACAAAACGTAGTGGGAAGGACCGGTAAAACCACTCCTGTATCTCACTTGCCTTGGTAGCTCTATCAGGATCCCTATAAATCAGTTCCAAGTTGATGGTACATCATATCAACAGAGCTGGAGTTATGGCAAGACCTTGGCTGGATGTAGTGCTAAAAGTAATCATGTTCACTGGAATTCTTTACTACCAAGCACTAGATCTGCATTGTTAAATGACATTTCCAACAACCAAGAAAACTAACGTGGATAAGGGATTGTTTCATTTTTGAGCAGTCCATTGTCACTGGAATAAAATATATTCTGGAAACTTTTTGGAAGGCCAGTCAAAATGTTTCGCAGCTATATTGTCTTTAAAATTGTAGGTCTCAGTGGCTGCAATCCAGTAGTAAGTGACAACTGGAGTAGACCCATTGAGTCAGTTGGGATTTGGTGAGTCATCTCCTCCATCACTTATAATAATCTTAGAACTGCAGTGCTGGAAGGGACCTTTATGGATTATGGAGTCCAGACCTAGCCAAGGATGCATAGAGGGGGAATTCAACTCCCAACCTCTGGCTTTGCAAGAGGTCTAAACCACTGGGCTACCCAGCAGCTCCATTGGTTCAATGGATCTACTCTAGTTGCAACTTGCTACTGGATTTCAGTGGTTGTGTGCCAGCTAGGAAACTTCAGCTGTCCCTGAAGCTGTTATTATGATGACTTTATACATCTTGTTATTAACATGGTCTTGTGGTCACACACCCCTCTCTGGTTTGGTTTGAAGGTACGTCTATCACAGCTCTCAGTGGATGGTGGCTGGGAACACAGACCATTCCTGCATCACCCCTCGGCTTTACATCCACCCAGATTCCCCTTGCTCTGGGGAGACCTGGATGAGGCAGATCATCAGCTTTGATCGGGTGAAACTGACCAACAACGAGATGGACGACAAAGGGCATGTACGTGTGAGTTGGAGATTATGCTTATCTGAGGGAGGAAGGGGAGGGAGCAGGGCCGGCCCAACCCTTAGGCAGAGTAAAGGTAGCAGAGTTTTTGGGAGGCAGCCACAAGGTCTGGGAAGAGAACATTGCTTACAAATTGGCCTGCCATGGAGGTCTGATGTTCCCTCCCTTGTTATCAGTTAAAATAGTGGTCCCCAACCTTGGGCCTCCCCCCCCTTGTTATCAATTAAAACAGTGGCTCCCAACCTTGGGCCTCCAGATATTGTTGGACTACAGCTCCCAGAAGCCTTCACCACCACCTCTGCTGGCCAGGATCTCTGGGAGTTGAAGTCCAAGAACATCTGGAGGCCCAAGGTGGGGTACCACTGAGTTAAAACATGGGCATGGGAAGAGTTTCTCTCTAATCACCAAGGTACATGGGCAGGGGAAGAGTTTCTCTCTAATCACCAAGGTAAAAGCTACCGAATCCATTTGGATTTCACAGATAGCTCGGTGGTTTAGGCCTCTGGCTGAAGAGCCAGAGGTCGGGGGTTTGATTCCCCATCGTGCCCGTATGATCGAGGCTGGACTTGACGATCCAGCTCTGCAGTTCTAGGATGGTGATTTTCTGAGATGTGAGCAGAGCAATGAAGGACACAATAAATTCCTTTAAAAACAGAAGCTCCAAGCAGTGACAAAAAAAATCTGGTGGGCTAAACCGGAAGGCAAAGCACGTTCTCTATGATTAAGCTACAGGCATGGCATTGGATGTCAACGACCAGACTTTTAGATGTTCTAAAAATGCATTTTTTTCTCAGACTTTGGTTACATCTTTCCCCCATATCTGTGCCCCTTACGTATGAAAAGGCATATTACAAAATTAACTCCAAGAAGCAGCATAAACTGGGGAGAGATATAAAAGGCATTGAGATTTCTTCAGGGACACACTCCTAGAAATGCTGCTGCCCAGAATCTAGGCTGGGGGTGGAATTCCTAGATTTGGAACTTGAGGGTCTCCCTAGGCGTAAGTCTTTCTGCTTGGCATCTCACACAGAACTTTCAGTCATGCTATCTGACTCTTGAATTTGATGTTTGCAATCTCAATGACACCTCTTGCAAGCTCAAGAGGTGAGATTGTGAGAAGACCTTTTGTGTTGATTTTGATTGCAAGCCATGACAGAAATAAGGAAAAATGTGTTTCTGAGTAGAGAGGCTGAGCAGTGGACTTTCTAGTCTTTTTTTTTTCCTTGAAAGATGTGGAGAAATGGTTGATTTTCCTCTCTGGTTTACAGATTATTCTGCAGTCTATGCACAAGTACAAGCCCCGGGTCCATGTCATCATCCAGGATTCTCGATTTGATCTATCACAGATCCAGTCTTTACCAGCAGCCGGAGTTCATACCTTCTCTTTCAAAGAGACGGAATTCACCACTGTCACAGCCTATCAAAACCAGCAAGTAAGTTGCTTAGACAAGACTTGGTCCCAAGTCCCAAGTCTTTGGTACCAAGTCCCAAGTCCAAGTCCCTATTTAAGACAAGCCTTCCCCCTCCAGGAAAAAGAGAGAGGGTGGGTGAGTTCCAAGTCACGAGTCATTGAAAAAAACAACAACACCTTAAGTTAAGTCTGAGTTGAGTAGCCGGTGTGACTTGTCCAACTTGACAGCGAGTCCCACGATTCTAGTCCCCATATTCTATTCAGTTCCTGCACCAATCTGTGAATTAAAACAGAAACCACAAAAATATGTACTCGCTTTCATTTGCTGCCTTCAGTGACATGCAGGTGTTCTTTGTTACTTTCCCCTGACACTTGTTTTTGTACGTAACTGTTGAGCGTTGAACTGCTCTGGAAAATGTGTAGAAGTGTGTAGTCTTCCAAAGGATAGGTATGATACAACCCATATGGTATTCCAGGAAAATCGGGCTGGTACATGTGAACATCGAAATCAAAGGGGGATTTTTGTCCCTTCTTTTAAAATTGTGACTTGAGGAAAGGCCAGAAAAGATTTACAAGTAGTGGTTCAGAGAGAAAGGCAACCCCCCCCACACACACACACAATGGGAGCAGTCTAGTTTATACATGAATTGAGCTGCCGGCTTGGAAAGGTCCAACAAGGTCTCAGAATCCAAGTTCAAAACTGATTGGGACAGTTTTCAAGTTATCCTGGATGAGTGCAATTCGGCATAACAAAAACCCCAGTGCAATGAAATAGGGAAAACGTTCTCATGCTAGTGCACATCATACACAAAGGGTAAAGTGCCTTTCCCCTCAGGCCTCTCAAATCTTTTGTTTCCTCCCGGGAAAATTTATCAGGGTTCACATTCAAGTCATAGATGGTGCTGAAGCCAGTGATAAGCAAAGCAAGCTCTCTCTGTCTCCCTCTGTGCCTCCCCCCCAACACCTGTCAGTGCTACAAGAGAGGATGATTGAAACCACACCTTCCAACTGATTTTAACTCACCTCATTTGAGTAGACTCAGCATGGACATCTGCCATGGATTTTGGAAATTCTGATCTAGATGGTGCCCAGCCTGAGGAAGTGGGATTTTACCCTCGAAAGCTTGAAATTTTTGCGTATGGGTGGTTTGTTGTTGTCGTCGTTTTTTGGTGGTTCAATAAAGGTATCACCTTACTCCTGCAATTCTAAGCGACACTAATTCTCTCAGAAAAGGAGCAAATCATTTTTGCCCGCCAGGTGTCTACTCCTGCTTAGTGGTTGTGCAGCTCCTAAATTGGGACAGGATTTCAGGTAGCAGAAAGAAAGTCCCTATGTATGACTGGTCAATTTGACCATTCACAAAGAACTTACTTTACTACTGAACACAAATGGGGGGGCAGTCTGTTAAACATGTTTTTGGCACTGCTAGCATTTTGTGGCTCGCTCAGACAATTCTTTCTTTATTGTTTTCTTGAACGATTTGTACAGATAACAAAACTGAAGATCGACCGGAATCCCTTTGCTAAAGGCTTCAGAGACCCCGGAAGAAACCGGTAATCGCGCCTATCGTTTTATATCATGAATCGTCACTCAGTTAAACTCACCTTAGCAAATCTGCATTTGTCAGTAACTGAACCAGCTTTTGGAACATATTCTCCTGGAGGCAGTTGCGTGGTTATGCAAATTTAAATTCTAGAGCTCAGTGTGTAGAAGCCTCATTCTTTAGATCAGGACGGGGCTCACGGGAGGGCTGCTACATGGCTCCATCAATACTGTTTTTACAACCCCTTGAGCCTCTGCTCCGAATTGTCCTCCCCCCTCCATTTATCAACTTCACTCAGAAAACACAGAACTGCACATGGAGGGTTCTCCTTGAAAACAAGATGGGTCCCCTACCTTCTTAGCAGGAAAATGCATTGGAGTCCCTTCTTCCCAAAGTGGAAATGTTTTGATCTCGTTTTTCTTGATGGTGCTAAGAAGGGTCCCTAGCAGATTCTGAGCCTGAGAAAACGGCCTCCAGATACCTCAAGCTTGTCCATTCCTGCTTTAGCCTGTAATGCTTATAAACTTCATTTATTTCCAAACATGAATAAGCCAGCTGGGTTGCAATTTGGTGATCTTGCTTCTCCTGCTGAGCCAGATTCCTGGACGTCTACCTCAAAAGTCCTGCACCTGCACAGAAAGAAAGGTCTAATTTCCTTATTTTTTCCCCCTTTCTAGAGGTGTTCTGGATGGACTTCTGGAATCCTACTCATGGCGACCGTCATTTACTCTGGATTTTAAGTCCTTTGGTGCAGAAAGCCAAGGTGAGCATTGGGTTTTGAGATGATGGAGTCAACCTGAGAGCAACAGAGATAAGGCTCTTCATGAACTTCAACTTCTTCGGAAGATGGCTTTTGGTTTGGGCAGTGTGGTTACATGTCAGCAAACAACTGTCTGGGATTTGCTCACCAGCTTGCATAAAGCCATATGGAAATATGGCTTTTTACCTTCTGGGCTAGAGAGTAAACATCCTTTAAATATTCCCCACTCCTTCCTAGAAAAATCAACAGTGTCCATGCACTTGCAAAGTATACAGACCAACAGAAAGAAAGACAGGGGTGTCTCTCTGTGTTTGAATCGTAACAATTCAATCCAATAATTTTAAATACAGTATCTTTGATTCCATTTCCTTTCTGATGGCAACTCCGAAACATATCTTTTTAAAGGGGGGGGGACGATGTGATCTGCATTGGAACAAAGTTTTTGCCTTTCAAGTGTGCTCAAGCATTGTATGCAAAAGGATCTCTCTGCCCTCAATATAAGACAGGCCTCTTTCATAAGGCTGTGATACCTAAAATAGTCTTGCAAGGCAAGCCAGAAAAATAATGATTAGGTTGGAATATGGTGCTGGAACGGAGCTACACAGATGCCCTGGACTGCCAGAAAGATGAACTCAGGTCAAATCGAGAATTCTCTCTGAGGGCTGTTCTACTTATGACAGAGCTGCGTTTTTCTTTTCTTAAAACAACAACAACAACAACAAGAAGCAGAGATTTCCCGGCTGCTATTTTAATTTCCCAGAATCCTTAGTTTCCTGCAGGAAAATCAAAATGGCAGCCAAACACACTCCTGTGTCAGGCTGATGCGTTATCCGATGCCTTTTTGTACAGAGTTTGTGAGGTGTTTTTTTTAAAGTATGGCTCTCACAGTTCACAACCAACGTGGCAACTGGCCTTAGGAGACTCTCAGAGCGCCAGTCCAAAAAAAATAAATAAAATAAAATAAAATAAAAGAGTAACTTTTCCAAGCATTAGTTTTGCACAAAAGTCCCACTTTGTGTGACATTTCAACCCCCCTGTTTTATACATGCTGTTCTTTCCATGGAAGTCTATTGAATACTGTTGGTTTCCGCAGTTTGCAGTTCTAAGACAAAAAATGTGTGGTTATTTCACCGAATGCTAAAAATGCCTGTTGACTTTGGAGAACAAATGGGTAAACTATCATTTTCAAGGTTTCTTTTCTCTCTTTTTAATTTCATCAGGGGAAGCTGATTTTTTTGAGGTGCCCACAGGCAGTTTCCTTTGGAAAACCTCTCGTCTCCAAGCTTGCCTGATTAATCAAAGGGGAATTTTTAATTCCATTTTTTTTAAAAAAAGCCTTCGCTCATTAATCTATCACTGAAATTGCTCAAAGCCTGCAGCCTGGTGAAATGTCATTGTTTACACTGTGTGGGGCATAATTATGCATGCGTGATTGCAAGGAACATTTGCTCTACTGAAATGGTCTCCAAAGCATATGAAGACAGTACATGGGACATGTTTTTTAAAAGTGTGGTTAAAACAAGAAAGTGAAGGGAGGTCAGAAAACTTACCACAGCACTCTCTGACTCCTCAAGGACCAGCTACAGAAATAGTTTTCAAATGAGTTTGGAAGGATATGGCAAACGGTTTCCCCCATTTCCATCATGCCACAAACCCACTGCCCAGATCATGTCTGTAAATATGCTAATAATAGACATACTGAGAAGTCAGTTGCAACTTAGGATGACCCTCTCCAGAGTTTTCTAGACTCTCCAGAAAAGATTTACGATTCCCTTTTTTCTGGGTCTGATCTCGGACTATGCAGCTTGCCCAGACCGGCTCTTCTCCCAGAAGCCACAGTGGGGAATCAAACTTCTAACTTCTGGCTCTGCAGCCGGGTACTTAACTCCCCAAGCTATCCATCCAGCTGTGCTAATAATTGTGTAATACTTCTCAGGCCATTGACTGTGAAGCGACTAGTCCAGTGGTGTCTAACCTTGGGCCTCCAGATGTTCTTGGACTACAACTCCCAGAAGCCTTCACCACCACCTCTGCTGGCCAGGATTTCTCGGAGTTGAAGTCCAAGAACATCTGGAGGGCTGAGGTTGGACACCACTGGACTAGTGGCTTTTATGGAGCAGCTAGGGCGGACGTTTGGGGCTCCTCATGACTCCAGATGTTCCAGATGTTGGACAACCCATTAATGAAAACCAGTGAAAAACATCATCTCTTGTGTGCTTGGCAATAATAGCACCATTTTGTTTACTTTCTTCTAGGTGTAAGTCCTGGATCTTCCCCCGTGATACCCTCTGGGGGTACCCCATCCCTGTTTCCCCCTTCTTGTTCTCCTCCGACCTTCCAGCTGACAGCGGCCAGCCTGGGCATGTCGTGCCCCGATTCTTACTTCCACCCTCTTGGTCTACCCATCTGCTATAAGATTTGTCCAGCCGGCCTTTTGAGGCAACAGCCCCTGGCGTTCCCAACCCACCACAAGCTGGCCAGTACTACCAGTCCTCCAGTTTTGCCTCACTTCATGGTGGAGGTTCCTGCTTTGTCTTCTCTGAGCATCACCAACGTCAAGAGCAGCAAAGTGGAAGAGTTGAACAGATCCGGCTCTCAGGGGCCGAATTCTGTAAGCCACATGCTGTATGGCTTACATGCATCTGGAAACATTTTCCCCTCCGGTCCTGTGACCCCAGAAGCGCTCCATTGTTCTCTACATCCTCCACACAGTCTCTACGGTTACAATTTCTCGGTACCTTCTAGACTAATGAATTCAGCCGGCCATTTCAAAGCAAACCATGGGGTCCCGTCCCCTCTCCGAGAGAGCAGGTGCAGCCATGCCTCTTGGCCACCCACAATCGACGACTGCCTCTAATCAGCTTGCTACAAGCAGCAGCAGCAGCACACGAAAGCCTGCGCCCCAATCTGCTTTTGACTTCCCACCCAAGACTGATGGGTGGTTGACTAAGGAATCCTTCCTTACAGGGTGGGCTGGGCAAAAAAAAAAGAGCTTCTCTGAAAATCACGTCAGCGAAGCAGAAGGATGGACGCCACCGGTGTCGTAGACAGGGATATTCACAAGTCTTTGGTGCCAAGTCATGAGTCCCAAAACCCGAAGTCTGAGTCCCTGTTAAAAACGAACTCTTTTCCGCAGAAGAAATGGAGAGATGGGTGGGTTCCAAGTCATAAGTTGAGTCTGAGCCTTTGAAAAAAAAAACCAAGTCCTGACTCGAATCCAAGTCAAGTCAAGTCTGACTTGACAGTGAGTCCTGTGACCTGAGTCCCCTTCGCTGGTAGCAATCCCCCCTCCACCTTACAGCTCCCCCGTGTGACCCTCAAAATCTGCTTTGGAGGTCCTCTAGAGCGGTGGTCTCCCACCTTGGGCCTCCAGATGTTCTTGGACTTCAACTCCCAGAAATCCTGGCCCAGCAGAGGTCATGGTGAAGGCTTCTGGGAGCTGTAGTCCAAGAACATCTGGAGGCCCAAGGTGGGGGGCGGACCATGGCTCTAGGGCACAGGTGGATGAGGGAGGGGATAGGAGAAGGGGAGGAAAAAGCAAGCAGCTCCATCATTGATTTTATCTCTCTCTCCCCATAAAAATGTCCAAGGTGTAGCATCGTTTCAAAACATTTTCATTGGGAAATAGCAGCCACTGCTAGACAAAGGTGTGTGTGTAGGGCGAGGGGAAAGCATGAAAAGTGGAAGACCATGTTCTGGTGAATATACCTGCAAAGGGACTTTTTGGAGAGACGTGAAGTTTTCAGAAATATCCTAACACCCCCATTTCCTCTCCCAAATAAAGTACACCAAGTATCTATAGAAATGCTGGCCCGGCTCCATCCAAGTTAACAGAAGACGATGACACAGCCCAAAACAGAGACATTTTGTGTGTAAGACACAACTGCTAATTTATTAGCTCATTTTAAAAAATCATGGTTAAAATGTATATCTATTTGTATGATATTTGCACTTTCCAGCAAGATTTTAGGATCAGGAGATAACGGAGATGTCGCGATCTGAAAAATGTTATTTTTACAAGACTGCATTTTCCTATTTCCTCAAATGGTGATTTGAGAATATTTTTCCCTGTTCAGATTTATTTCATGGACCTTTTTGAAGACTGATCCTTCGGCGCCCTCTCCCTCTTCGCTGTCCAACCGTTCTCTGCCAAGTAAAGCACTTAATCCTACAGCTGGGGCTTTTATTCTTCTCCATCTTCACCCGATGAACAAATAACAAGGTTTAATGGTTGTTGTGGGTTTTT